AAAGAGAAATATTTAGTCTCAATTTGGTATTTGTTATTTTTTATGCTTATTTAAAAGTACAATGTGCACATTAATCTTTTACTCATTAGACGATTTTTGAATAGATACTGTCATCGGGACAAGATGTGCTAATCAATGAAAAGTTAAAGATAGAATGCGATGAAAAATTGAAGAAATAAATTGTAATAATGAGTAAATCTTTCATGCATTTAAAATATGATACGAATATATTTAATCCGTCAAAAAAGTCAATATTCTTGTAAAATACTATTTTGCCCTTATTTATTTAAAATAAATAAGAAAAGAAAATGAAAATGATAAGTAATAAAAAGTAATTAACAAAAGAATTATTTCACTGCACCACACCCCAATCCCGCCCTAGCTTGACACCACCACGATTGTCGGCAACACACCATTGTCGATAGCATTTCTAGGAGATTGAAAGCTCGCTTGAAAAACCCTGAATGGAATTCAAGAAAATTAGAATAACATCTCTTATTTAATCGAATAACACTAAGTATTATACCATCACCAACATCATGATCTGCAGCTGTAATGGCCTCCACCATCACCAACACCACCCCCACCCATAGATATTCAATTGTGGAGTGAGTCTTGTAGTAGAGTGATAACTGAAGCGTAGACTCATGACCATCAACACTCTAGATGAATATTTTGCATCAATTTGCAACATTCATAAAATGGAATTATTTTTTATTTTTTGGAATCCCCAAATCTTTATATATGTAAATGCATCATATATAGATATAGAGATGGAAAAGGGGTGGGTCGGGGATGGGTTGAGCATTCTCGTCCCTTGTCCCATCGGATATTTTTGTTACTTTATCCCGTCCCCATACACAATTAAGGCATGGTGAAACATCTGTCTTGTTTATTATCCCGTTTATTCATTTTATTTATTTTTTATGTTTTTTGTTGGTGAAAATTATTAATTTTTGTTTTAATTTGTTAAGGACAACTCTGGTTCCCTTTAAAAAAAGATTATAGTTCTTTTCTTTTTGTTTAATAAAAACTTAAATTTGAAATGAACTTTAAATGAGACAGATAATAGGGTGGAGATCATGTTTCTGGAACTCGTCACATCCACATCCCGTTCGGTGCAAGATGATATGTAGCAAGGATATGAACCTAATAATTGTTAATAAATCTAGATTGAAACAACTAAGAAGTTCCATGAATCGATTAAGACATTTAAACATGGGCAAACAAATCTAGAATTTGCTTAATGTTGGGTGACCTCCATTAAAATTTAGGGAAAATTGCGGTCACGATATCAAATCTTTCACTTTGTTGCATATTTGATCCAAACTTTTCACTTGTGCCATACAAGATACCAAACACTTCTTAAATTCCCACTTTAAGTACAAATAGATGAGAACCGTCCATTTGACTGTGAGTTGACCATAATATTTAACTGACTAATTTAGAAAATGGCAAAATAGTAACTTTACAATTTTAATATAAAATACAATTATAACAATAATAATTAAATCAAAAATTAAAAAACAAAAAACCAACTACACCACATTCTAACCCAAAACCAAACCACATATAAATGGACGTCGTCACTCTTCAAAAACCCTGTGGAACACCAATCTGGCCTTTTCCAGTTACAAATTTTCCAGTCAGCCCTTCACAAAATAGGTCACTCTAAGAGATCTCCACTGGGCCTATTTAATTGTATGTTATATTAAAATGGTAAGATACTATTTTGCATTTTTTAAAATTGGTCAAAACTTACTATTATAGTCAACTAAAATTTTCATCAATTTGTACTTAAAATGCAAATTTCATTAAGGTTTGGTATTGTGGTTCGCACAAATAAAAGGTTCGAATCAAATCCACAACAAAATAGAAGGTTTGATACTGCAATTCTCCCTAAAATTTACCTTAAAACATGAAAAAGAAACAAAAACAAAAGAAAGGACTAATAATTGTTATGAAACAAAAAAGTTAAAAAGGCTATTCTTTCCCAGCCAATAGTCTCGACTTCACGTTGGAAATATTGCGATCTCGACATTATGGAAGTCAAAAGCGAGTTGATAATATTTTCTCTCAATTATATCGTACGATTTTATTTACTTAGCTTTTAAGTAACAAGTTTTAATTCGTACGAAATAGAGGCTATTGAAATAGAAAATATGGTGTAAAGAGTCTTTATTAAATTTGTCTGAATCAGTCACTATTCTTTTCTTGACAATTATTCCCGATTTGGACTCCATTTTATAAACCTTATTTTTTTCATTAATTGTATATTTTACGAGACTTGTCAATTTTTCAACTGAGAGATTATGAACTTATCTTGCAATTTAAGAGGATGTTTGGTGGGGATTGAAATTAAATTTTTAGTAGATTATGATATAAGTTTTTAAAACGTGTGATTGAAAAGTTATGAGACTCATGAAAGATGTGGTTAATATTGATTATTTGACTTTAACTTAAATCTCATTGGGTACCTTTTGTCAATTGCAAAGAGATATTTAGTGAGCTTTTTGGTCTGCTGGTTTCTTATTTAGTGAGACGAAGCAATAGAGGAAAAGACGATCGATGGAGCATAAAGGGAGCCCCTTCTCTCTTACGAGTACTGGCGATAACAATAGTGAGTACTGTCATTCTTCTTAGTACTTATTTAACAGAGTGGAATATTGTAAATTTAATTTGATTTGTGTTAAAATTTGGCAGAAGTTACATTTGAAACAAGAGACTTCTCTCCTTCACACTTGTTGTTCAAAATTGAGTCATTCTCCTTGCTTTCAGAGAGTGGAATAGACAAGATTGAATCAAGTGAATTTGAATCAGACGATAAGTACAAATGGTATTTCTTGTTATCAAATTATCAATAATCATTTGTACAAACCCACTTGTTTTCCATAATTTTTCATGTAAATTTCTCTATTAGGAAGTTGATAATATATCCTGAAGGGCGA